ATTTTAGAAGACTTTAGAAAAGGCATTACATGATGAGACTGCAGGAAACAATACATGTGAAGAGGCTAGTTAGGAGGTGTATTAACCAAAGTAGCTAAATGTTCTAATAATCTAATCCAAAATCTCACTGGTTTAACCATATAAAAGATGTGTTTGTTGTTCATGTCACAATCCAATCAGGTGTTTGCAGGTGATTTTATAAGCAGTGATTCAGAGACCCAGTTTATTCTATATCATGGTTTGATAATTTTTAGGGCCTCAGAGCCCTGCAATGAATACTCTGCATCCAGCTACAATTTAAAGGAGAGAGCTAGGATGTGAACAAATTGCACTGTGGTTTTATGGCCAGGCCTGGGAAAGATACGCTTTTGTTCTGTGCAAATTTCATTTCCAGTCTATCTGCAAATGAGGTTGAGAAATGTAGTCTTTCTGTGTGTTTGAAGGAAAACAAGGGAAGTTCGGTGTTCATATAACATTGTCTCTTCAACAGGAAGCCATTAAAATAGTGAAGAAAGAAATGATGGCACCCGAATCAAAGTGATGATATTAAAGATGGAAAGAAGTTGACAGATTCGAGAAATATTTAGGAGCTAAATTCATAGTATATCTGAGAAATAAAAGTTGAATTCTAAGTCTCTGATTTGTGGTAGTTCATGAATGATAGTGCAGATGAGAAGACTTTTATTTGTTTAAATGGAAAAGGCTTGGGCAAGATTAAATGCTGAGAAGGACCTAGCAGGAGGAAAAAGGACAAAGGGATGACCGTAAGTTTCCTAAGAAGATGACAATTCAGAAGGTATTAGAATCCAGAGCACAGGTAGAGGTATTGGCCTTAAGTAGAAGGATCAATGCCAATTTTATTGTAATAAAAAGAAAAAAGGAGCAGATTGGTACAGATGCAGATGGCTCTATAGCTTTTTGAGGGAGGCTGGTGGCAGGGGAAAGTAGTGTGAGTTCTTATCTCATAGTTTTTACTTTCTCTGAGAAGAAGGATGTGAGCCCATGTGCTGAGAGTGACGGAAGGGAGTAAGAAAGTCTCAGGATTAAGGATGGGGGAGAAAAATTCTTGCACAGTAGTAGAGGAAATGCAACATAGAATGTAGTAAGACAGTTCGGCCATGATGAGCTTGGTGATTAGTAATTTTCAAATGTACCAGTCAGTCCTAATATGGATTTTCTCCACTAGTGATCTGCTACCTGGAAACAGGTATAGAGATCTACTGTCACGTTGTACTTATCACACCTGGTATTTTACCAGGCAAGTGCAATTAAAAGAGAGGTAAAGAGGTAAAATCTGATCATGAGTCACAAACTAAAATATCCACAGTGTCAAGCAGTTAATGTAAACCAATGAAGCAGGTCCTCTTTTAGGCAATCAGGAATGTTGGGATCTGTGGTAAATGAGAAAGTGGATGCCTCACTTGAGTCAAGGAGAGTACATGGAAAAACAAATTATAATAAAAAGAAAGCACAGCATCAGCAAAAAAGGAATTACCTATAGTAGTTCATTTAGGGAATTCTTGGGTAACAGTCAGTGGAAATGCTTTTTTACTTACCAGACCCAAATTAAGTAACTTAAGACAGTAAATAAAAGATTCAGAACCCTAAAATACTGAATCGAGCAAAAGGAGTTTTCAACCAAAAATGTTTAAATCTCGATTCAAGATAACATAAATAACAATCAGATGATTCCTGTACTGTTTTAGAGACATCCTTTCAAAGGTTTGAGTATTGGAGATCAACCAAAAATGTTTAAATCTCAATTCAAGATAATATAAATAACAATCGGATAATTCCCGTACTGTTTTAGAGACACCCTTTCAAAGGTTTGAGTATTGGAGATCACTCCCATATTGGGGGAAGGAGGAGAAAGAAAAGAGCTCCAGCCCCAATCGTGTTCTTTGGGATGACTTGATCATACTTCCTAGAGGAGATAAGACCTCATTCCTCCTTTATAGCTGAGATGCTCAACAGTGATGTCAATCAAATCCAAGTTCTGTTTTTTCACTTGTGGCACTGAAAGGGGAGCTGCTTCTCTATATAACAGAGATATTGCAAAGAAACACATATGCAAGATTTACTTTTTATTTTTCAGAATAGATCACGTTTTTGATTCTTTCCCTTTTTAGGTAATATATATTATCTTTTTGAATGGAACCCCTGCAGGCCATGGGGGTTCCTACACTAGAATTACTCATGGATATTCAAGTCGATCATTTTCCACATTATCACTTGACAAGTGGCTGAGAGTCTTGGATTATGAGGTAGAATTTTTCAAGTTTCTTAGCATTGTTGTCTGTTCTACCAAGTGATTGAGTTCCAAAATTCTTAGAGTTATTAGAAAACTTATAAAGACAAATTTTTTAGTTGGGAAAAAAGGATTACAAGATAG